GTACAGGACATGTATGAGGACAGGTGGGACATGTTAGATTAGTATAGGACATGTATGGGGACAGGTGGGACATGTTAGATTAGTGTAGGACATGTATGAGGACAGGTGGGACATGATAGATTAGTGTAGGACATGTATGAGGACAGGTGGGACATGTTAGATTAGTATAGGACATGTATGGGGACAGGTGGGACATGTTAGATTAGTACAGGACATGTATGAGGACAGGTGGGACATGTTAGATTAGTATAGGACATGAATGAGGACAGGTGGGACATATTAGATTAGTACAGGACATGTATGAGGACAGGTGGGACATGTTAGATTAGTACAGGACATGTATGAGGACAGGTGGGACATATTAGATTAATATAGGACATGAATGAGGACAGGCGGGACATGTTAGATTAATATAGGACTTGTATGAGGACAGGCGGGACATGTTAGACCGGTACAGGACATGTACGAGGACAGGCGGGACACGTTAGATTAATATAGGACATGTATGAGGATAGGCAGGACATGTTAGACGGGTACAGGACATGTACGAGGACAGGCGGGACACGTTAGATTAATATAGGACATGTATGAGGACAGGCGGGACATGTTAGATTAGTATAGGACATGTATGAGGATAGGCAGGACATGTTAGACGGGTACAGGACATGTACGAGGACAGGCAGGATGTGTGTGAGGACAACAGGGACACGTGTGAGGACATCTCCAGTTAGAGAGGACATGGGAGTAGTTGGACTGAGGACAGACTAAGATGGGAGGATGAAGAGGGAACAACAGAGTAAATATTTATTATTATTAAAACGTGAATTTAATTTATTGATAAAAATATTTTAAAAGTTCAGACAAACTCAGGTTTTATTCTGAGACTCTGACAGGATCAATGTTTACACAAACAAAAATCACGACAGTTATATTTGTGTCCTCAGTGTCACGGTCTGTGGGACGAGGACGTCCCCAAAGAGAAGAAGGAGGTGTCCCCTGAGAGCGAGTCTGAGGACGAGGGAAAAGACAAGGAGGAGAGCGAGAGGGACTCTGAGCCAGCCTCGTCCATCGTCAGCGAGGGGAGAGGCTCCGTCCGATCGTTGAGGTCCATCAACTTTGAGACGTCCATCGAGTCCGGACTGGTCCAGGTCCACCACCCCCAGACGCAGACCTACCAGCGACGCAAGAGCTCCAGCGGGGGCTCGCACATTTCCCACCGCTCCCGCCTTTCCTCTGCCAGATCCAAAAGAGGTACGTCATGGCCCTCTTCAGAACCACTGTTAGTCCCGGCCTCGGCCCGTTTACAACTCAGAGTGTGAACCGTTCCCACAGGAAGCACCACGTCCCACAACAGCAGCCACAAAGACGGCAGCCTGGCCAGCGTCCAGCAGAAGACCCACAAGGAGCTGGTGGTGGAGAAGCTGAGGGAGCTGCTCCACAAGGCCAGAGCTTTCATCATAAAGCGGTACGACCAAAAACCCTAAGAACCRAGAAACAAAACGAGGCTCGGCCGACCCCGCCCCCGACGGATCATATCCAGCTGGAAACCTTTTACGGGTCTAAGTTTAGACCTTTAATTACCGCGTTCCCGTCAGGCCGTTCAGTGTCATTTTTGTAAGTGCTGCAACAGACGATCAAAGCTTGTTATTCTTCTAAATGGAATCACGATGGAACGAGTGGTTTCTGAGATGTTAGGCCCGGAACAGTAAGTCAACCTGGGTTTTGTTTTTTTGTGGTTTTCGGACTAATGGCATTTAGTTTGATTTTACTACCTTACGAACGCTGTTCACACTGCAGGCCTGACAGAGCCGAGAGGCAGAAGCAGAAAGATAAAAGCACAAAAACACCGAGTTAAATCGTGCTTTTATTTTGTAGGTTTCTGGAGCTCTACCTCCCCATGAAGCAGTTCTTCTACAACCTGATCCATCCGGACTACAGCGCCGTCACGGACGTCTACGTGTTGATGTTCCTCGCCGACACCGTTGACTTCATCATCATCGTTTTTGGATTCTGGGCGTTCGGCGTGAGTTCTTTTTTAATCCTAAATGTGGAAATAAATCCACCAGAAACTCAACGCTGCGTCTTTTTCGTCGTGTTTAGAAACACTCGTCGGCAGATATTACCTCGTCGCTGTCTGAGGATCAGGTGCCGGGACCCTTCCTGGTCATGGTCCTGATCCAGTTTGGCACCATGGTGGTGGACCGGGCCCTCTACCTCAGAAAGACGGTCATGGGGAAGGTCATCTTCCAGGTCATCCTGGTCTTTGGGATCCACTTCTGGATGTTCTTTATCCTGCCGGGCGTCACCGAAAAGTGAGAATTTGTCTTTTTTTTTTCTTTTTTTTACCCAGGAAACAGATCTGGATTAAARAACAGCTCATATTCAAGTTAAATTGGACTCCTGTAGGTATAAGATTTAAATATATAAATATTATACAGGACTGAGCAGATATTAAAGGGAAAAATGGCCTAACTTCTAGGAATTTGCAATTTCTTCAACTTTGTCTTTTAAGATAAACATGTTTTTTCTGTAAAATAAAAAATATTAATATAAAATAAGTGAAGTAATATTTTGATAATTATTAGAAGTGTAAAAACAGCTAGAAGTTCTTGAAAAAGTACTTAAAGCATTTTTTTTATCTTGTATTTAAAAGTTTATTTGTCTTTATTAATCGTTTGGTTTGCTACTTTTAGCTATTTGATTCTTTAATGTAGCATTTTGTTTTGCTGCTGTTAGCATTTAGCTGCTTTCAGTAATTTTTAGCTTTTATTTAGCCTTTCATGTATTTGAGTAGCCCTTTTGCTACTTTTACTTTTGAGTACTCTTTTGCTATTTTATCTATAAGGTAGTTTTTTTCTTCTTTTAACTATTCGGTTCTATTATTTAGCATTTAGTTTTGGTGCTGTTAGGTAGCATTTAGCTGCTTTCAACTATTAGTGTTGTGTTACTTTTAGCTTTAATTGACCTTTTAGTTATTTTAGCTTCCCTTTTGCTGCTTTAACTTTTAGGTAGTTTAACAACATTAGCTAATATTGTGTTACTTTTTAGCTTTTAATGCGTTGGGGTTTGCTTTGTTAGTGTTTTGTTTTGCTAGTTTTAGGTACCGTTTATGTAGCCTTTTGGTGTTTTCAGCTTTTTATCAACCTTTTGTTACATTAATCTTGTAGCTATTTTTTGCTGCTTTTAGCTATCCTTTCACTACTTTATATTTGAGGTAGTTTTTGCTCCTTTTTGCTACATTTCAGAGTTAAAATGACAGGCTGAAGGCCTGTGTTTGCTATTTTCCGTGTGTTAAAAATTAATTTACCGTATTTATTCATGTGTAATACGATCATAATTTTTTTAGATTAAAAAGCGTAAAAAAATCTAATCATCAATAGCCTGTCTGTAACCCCATTTCTAGTAATATACATGAATACAGTGTGTGTGTGTGTGTGTGTGTGTATACAGTATATATTTTTTAATTTATTTATTTATTTTTAATCAGAAACTGTAGAAGTTTTTTCTAATATTTCATCCAGTCTTTCTTTAAAGACCTCATTTCCTTCCTGTTTCAGGTTTTCATCTTTAAAACATCGACACTGACAGTAAAATTAAAAGTACCGCAGTAAAAACATTATCTCCTGTCTCTGTTCCTCCTGTTTCAGGCGTTTCAGCGAGAACACCGTGGCTCAGATGTGGTACTTCGTCAAGTGCATCTACTTCGGGCTGTCGGCCTATCAGATCCGCTGTGGTTATCCCACCAGAGTTCTGGGGAATTTCCTCACCAAGAGCTACAATTATGTCAACCTGTTCCTGTTTCAAGGGTGAGTTCAGTTTCCAACAGCTGGATGAACGACTTCAAGAAATTAAAAACCTGACTGGTTAATTTGTTTCAACTGATTCTTTTTTCATAAGTTTGATGCCAGTATTGACCCAAAAAAAAGTCCATTTACTGAAAACACACACAACATTTGATCCTTTGTCATGTTTAGAAAATATTTCATTAAGACTCACTTCAAGTTTCAGCTCTTCAMAGTTTATTTTTTATAAAAGTTTTGACTTTAAACAAAACTTCCTTTTATTATAATTTATTTGAGGATWTATAAAAACTAAATATCTTTTTACATTTACCATGTGGCTGATTTAAACTGCACAAATTCTGCAGTGATTTAACAGAAAATCAAAGTAAAAAAAGTTTAATTATAAATTTCAGTGTGGAGA